AGAATATTTACAAGAAGTGGCAGTAAAAGCTATAATAACGTGAACAAAAATTCAAATGTCTAGTACGCAGTTTGGTCACAGACAATGCTGCAAATGTATCCAAGATGAGAAGAAATTTAGAAGAGCAGGAAGGGAATACAAAGCTAATAACATATGGTTGCAGTGCTCATTTGCTGCACTTCTTAGCCAAAAACTTAAGTGTTCCAGAAATAAAGACTAATGTTGTTGAAATTGCTAAATACTTCCGTAACAATCATTTTGCTGCAGCAGCTCGGAAAAGGATGGGTGGAACCAAGCTAACGCTCCCACAAGATGTTAGATGGAACTCTGTGGTGGACTGTTTTGAGCAGTATATCAAGAACTGGCCTATTCTGATGACAGTTTGTGAAGAAAATCGAGATAAAATAGATGGCACTGTCACGGCCAAAATCCTCAACAGTGGGCTTAAGAGAAATGTTGAACATATGCTGAGCATCCTGAAACCCATCTCTGAAGCTTTAAACAAAATACAGAAAAATAGCTGTTTTATTGCTGATGCTGTTGAAATTTGGAAGGAACTGAGTGAACACTTAAAAACAGAACTACACACGGACAAAATTAAATTACAAGCATTAAAAAAACGAATGGGACAAGTACTGTCTCCAGCTCATCTTTTGGCAAATATTGTCAATATCCAGTATCAGGGTCAAAACTTAAGTGCTGAGGAAGAGGAGTTAGCTATGACATGGGTATCCAGCAATCATCCATCTGTAATGCCAGCTATAATAAACTTCAAAGCTAAGGGGGAACCATTCAAGAAATATATGTTTGTTGAAGATATTTTAAAGAAAGTCACACCAGTGAACTGGTGGAAGTCCCTTAAGCACTTGGATTTAGAGACTGTTCAAGTAATGATTTCACTTTTAACAGCAGTAGCTTCTTCTGCAGGCGTTGAAAGAATATTCTCTTCCTTTGGACGCATTCATTCTAAATTGAGAAATCGTTTGGGACCCGATAAAGCAGGAAAGCTTGTTTTTCTTTTCCAGATTATGAACAAAGAAGAAGATGAAGATGACGAGTGAGCTACGGAGGACAGTATTTAAGTTTTTCATGTGTAGGCTGGGCTGACAGTCTAAGTTTCTTAAAATATATATATTTTGTTTAGCCAAATTAGTTAACAAACATGGAAATTTGTTTAAGCAAATAACATATGCTGTAATGTTATTGTTTCAGTTGAATAAATCTATTTAAATTGTTATTATTAAGGTAATGATTATTTTTCTCCTTCCTAAGTACAAAGTTGTCCAAATATGAATGATTAACCTATTAAACTGGGGATAAAAAAACTAATATGAAAAGTTGTTATTCTAAAAATCTTCATCTACTTGCATATTAAAGTTATACCAGCAAGAATTAGTCTTTATGTAGAAAACTATGATTTAAATCAAGCCTTACTGACTAGTGATTTAAATCGTGATTTAAATCAGTTTGATTTAAATCAAATCCACCCTGATATATACTGATCTGGGAAATGAGATGGCTGCTTCAAGAGGCATTTAAAAGCAGCCACATGTTTTCTTTTCATGCTCAGCATCTTGCAAAAAAACCCAACAACCCTCATATATTCTATCAACCACATAAATCACAGTCTTGTAGCTGACTTTGTCTGATTCTGAAAGATGGTGCTATATTGGATCTGATGTGTATTTAGACAGAAAATCATCAGGAAATCCCATGGCTAGGGGACAGCTAGCAGCTAAAAACTACCCGGAAGGCAATGGCAACCACTTCCCCTATTTTTGCTGAGAAAATAACATGGATATATTCATGCACTCACCATCTAATAAAGTTTAGGATTATATTGCAAACATATCTGTGACACAAATCATATTAATTTATTATGAGAAATAATTTAACAATCTCAACATGTTAGATGTTGCTAATAGAAACACTACAGTTCCCTCCTTTCATATTATAGGGTTCAGATGTCTAGTTTTCAGTATATGAAGAAATTTCAATTAAAATAGAAAATATTTTTATCTGATATGCATCAAAACCAAATAGGTATTATATCAGTAATGTGTAAATCCATTTCTTGAAATCTTTTGACTGAATGATTGACTAAACCTAATCTCCCTTCCTCTGTAAATTGTAAATACATTTTGTATGCTTTGCAATGAAGTTTTCCAGTCTTACAACGAAGTTATGTATGAAGGCTATTGCTTAACGTATTGTAAGCCGCCCCGAGTCTCTGGAGAAGGGCCGCATATAAATTAAAGCAAAAAAAAAAAAAAGTAGAACAGCAAGGGGGGAGCAGCTGTGCCGCGTGATTTAGATTCACTAGAAAGCAGGATTTCCTGCTTTCTAATGATTTTAAATTACGTGGCATAGTTGATCGTCAGAAATACCAGTTTGGACCAACCGGTAGCCTTTTTTATTATTACTGGTTCACTGAACCAGTAGCTTTTATCACTACCAGTTCGCCTGAAGCGGTGCGAACCAGTAGGATTTCACCACTGGTTCAGCCTTAAGGTACCTCTCTGGTATTTGAAGACCATGCTCTTCAAATACCAGAGAGGATATTACACTAAGAATATGCCTTGGCCATCTTCTATCTTCTCAGAAGGCAGAATAAAATATCTGAGGAGCTGTCACAGAGAAGAGGAGGCAACCTATTCTCCAAAGAACCTGAGGGCAGGACAAGAAATAACAGATGGAAGCTTAACAAAGAGAGATAATCTAGAACTAAGAAGTTTCCTGACAGAACAATTAATCAGTAGAACAATTTGCCTCCAGAAATTGAACACTGGAAGTTTTTAAGAAGAGATTGCAGAACTATTTGTCTGGAAAGGTATAGGGCAGGGGTATCAAACTCAAGGCCCGAGGGCTGGATCCGGCCCATAGGGTGCTTAGATCTGGCCCACGGGGCTGCCCTGGAAACAGTGAAGGACCAGCCCACAGTGCTTCTGCCAGCAAAAGCGGAGCTCGGGAGGGCTGTGGGCGGCCCTTCCGAGCTCTGCTTTCACTGGCAGAGGGTTGCAGGAGGCCATTGCAGCCAAAAACGAAGCTCATGAGGGCTGCGGACGCCCTTCCAGAGCACCGTTTTCTCTGGCAGAGGGTTTTAGGAGGCCGTCACAGTTGAAAATGGAGCTTGGGAGCCCGTTTTTGCTGGCCGAGTCCTCAGACCACTACAGTTACCCTGATGCAAGTGACATCAAGCTGGCCATGCCCACCCTGGCCATACCCACCACAGCCCCCAAGGTCAAACACAACCCTGATGTGGCCCTCAAGGAAATCGAGTTTGACAAACCTGGTATAGGGTCTCCTGTTTGGCAGCGGATAGACTAGAAGACCTCCAAGATCCCTTCCAACCTTATTCTATATTCTATAGACTGACATTCAGCTGAATATTAGGAAAATTGTCTTGCCAGAAAGGACAATTGATTACAATCACTAAAAGACAAATGTAGTGTTTGGCAACTGAACACACATTCAAATTCTCACTCAGCTGCAACATTTGTGAGTGCACTAATCAACCTCCATAGCAGACTTTTGAAACTGAATTTATAAAAGCAAGGTAGTATGAAAAAGTAGATAGGATTTTATTTGTTCTCAAATAGTATCCAAAAATACCAGTCCTGCTTTTTCAAGTACTTAAACAAATGTAGTTAATACTGGGCAATGGATACCTCATAGATATGTCAACAGGGGTTTTGGACAGTTACCACAACTGGCTTGCAAATGCCTTCTTTTAGGCTGTTATAGACTTCCTAGTCTAGCCTACAACTTCAAGATTCCCTTCAAGTTTCCAACTCAAATACTAACCAAGTTTAGCTTTCAAACCCAAAGTAGTTCAACCAGGTGCTGCCACCTGCTGTGACAAAATATTTAAAGATATTTCTTTATTTGTTCTACAAATATGCGGATCATTAAAATGCTGTGTTTTGCTATATAAATTTAACAGTTCACTAAATTTGTATTTACTTCTTAAGAAACTCTAACAGTAATATAAAATGCAGTCTGGATGCAAACACCTTGATATCTTCTATAATCCATAGTTTCATAGATATATTCTATCTTACAATTTCTAAAATATTATATTTCATACATTTTCTAGTACACACATGCTTGCCTTTTCATCAGAAAGCCACTATATTTTCTCTGCCACTGTTAATGTAATTTGCCAGAAGGTAAAGGTAAATTTATTTATTTATTAAATTTATATGCCATCTATTTTCAAAAGCAACACTAATATAAAACCAAAAAATCTCCCAAATCCTAAGAATTTATCACCTAAGGGCCATTTATGTCCTCTGTAACAATTCCAAAAACCTAGAGTACCTCAATTCTAATATCACACTGGTCTGCTCAATGAAAGCTTCTTCTTCTAATCCATCCTTACACTTCTCAAAAGCAAGCAGCATTTTCTACTACAGAATTAGTATTTGAAGTATTTTAATCTGGAGGTTTATGTACACCTTCACCAACAACCATTAATAATCTTCCTTACATATTTTTGTTAGTTTAAACCCATTATTTATCATATTTTAAGTAGTAGCAAATTCCATAAACCTATTATGAGTTTACTCAGTAATACAGTGCTTATTTTCCTTTATTTATTGGCTATTTATTTTCCTGTGGGGAAAATGCTCGTTAAATTAGGTTTTTCTTATCTCTTTCCAACTTTATGGGGTCATTTTGGAGATAGAGTGATAGCATAGCATGCTTACAGTGGACAGTTAAGATGTACCCAAGATATATTCCAACATAAAACGATCCTGAGAAGTTTTCATGACCTTTCAAATAATCAATAGCATGGAACTATTTTCATATAGTTTTCCATAGCTGCTGCACTGTGCGAGTGTATTGTGACACAGAACACTTCTTCAGAACCCCACAGCTCTTTGAAATTTCCCAACACCATATGTATTTTCATTTACCATGGGTTTTTAGTCAGATTATCTTTCTATCTCAACTTTTCTTTCTTTTTAATCCATACAGACAGACATGTACAGTCTTACCTGTGATTTTGTCTCGAACCAGTTTGCATGATTCAATCTCTCCAATACTTCCAAACAGACTCTTGAATTCCTCTTGTGTCATGTTCTGGGGTAAGTAGTTGACTATGAGGTTAGTTTTGGAATCATCGGTGGCCCCATTGGCACTGATCAGTGGCCCATTGGGGAGGGAACTGTTGCTTGTGGGGCCGTTGGACACCTGGGTCTCCATTGTGCTGATTATCTGCTGAAAACAAGAGGGAGGAGGGAAAAGTGTTACGGTTATGAAGGATGGGAGGTAAACCCAGCAGCTTGTATGAAATTGTTCATTTGCAATGTAAGGGTTGTTGAAATGGATTAGGCTTATAATATATTTGTTTCAGTGTTTTGGTTTCACAGAGGTTATATCAATGTAGTATATTAAAAAAAAAAATTCTGTGAGTGACCATGACACAGACCTCTCAAGTAGATTTTATGCAATGATGATACAGAAACAAATGGAGAAGAAAGAGAGAAAGGAAATGCTAGAAAAAAAGGAAGTGCCAGAAGGCACATGATGGTCCCACTTTGTTCACACTAGTGTACTATTTCCATGTGATGCAGCTCCCAAAAAATTACTCCTACAGGAACACTGTGCTCAAGCAGAATAAATATTGCCCTCTGCTGAACAACCTTGCCTGAACTCAGAGCCTAAGAAAGAGCATTGCTAATACTTGGGTGGACCAACAGAGAAAATCAGTTGGATAGATGAAGAAAAGTTGGAAAAACATCCCCAAACCACCTCTGCAGTTTTGTCAAGAACTGTTATGTAGATATGTGCATGAAATCACCAGGACTTGTATTTGACCTGAAGGAGATTTTAAACTACTTTAATTTAATTTGTCATTTTTCCATGCATAAACAAATTCCTTAAGCATATATATTACTTCAAGTGGCTGGTTACAATTTATTTATAGTGCATGTGGTGGGAGGGTGGTGTAAATTCAGGACCTCTCAATAATTACTGATCAGTGCTTCTTTAGGCAACAACCCCACTCCCTTTACAATCCATTTCATTCCCTGGACATTTATTCCGATTGCTACAAAGCCTCTGTGCCAACCATCCACTTCACTATGCTTTCCTGCAGGCTGCTCTTCTGTTAGCAAAATGCTGGTTCCCTCTTAAACTATTGATCAGGCCATTGATTCTGCCATTATACTCCAGCCTCAGGCCAGGAATGAATATCATCAAAGAAAAATGCATCACTAATTTCCTGGGCCTGCCAATAATGTGCTTACAAAAATGGTTGAGGACAGGATGCTCTTCTCTCACTATATGGTATTTACTAGGCTTTGGAAATTTAATTTTGTATATAAAGATAATTTTTATTTCGTTGAATGTGGTTCCATATTTATTCTCTACTTCACAGAAATAAATAATGGTTCTAAAAGCCATCATTCAAAAGCCATATTACATATTCTAACATAAACACTAACCAAGATTATGTCACACAAAAATACCAGAATGATGCAACCAGACCAAGTTGTTGCAACTTGCCAATAATTTGCAAACGGTGGCATGTTTGGGTCACATGTAGAAAACCTTAGGAATTTATGTAAAGATATAATCTGTAAAGCGATCTAAATACAAAATGTATCTGAAATAACTAAAAAGAGATGACCAGTTTGGGTAACAGTCAAGATACACAAATTCAGAACAAAGCAGGGAACAGGGGAACAGATAGGAATATAACAATATGAAGTCTGAAATTCTGTTCACATTTATTCAGAGGCTCTGATGATTATTTATAAATGTCTAATTTTATGCTGAACACCTATTACATTGCAAAGATTGTCAACAAATTTCATGGACATAGATTAATCTTACCGGTAGGAGCAGTTTCATACACCCTCTAATTTATATACACAATTTGTACTTTATAGTTGTAATTGCTGTATCAAGTACAAGTGGACATCAGCTACATACCAGTCTCTAGGCAAGCCTCCCCAAACCAAGATACAAAAACATGTTATCAGAAGCATTACAATATATCCTGTCAATTTATTGCCACGCCACTTTTTAATCTATGTTTAAAAAAAAAAGACAATTTAAGATGTTTCTTAAAAAAGAACTGTTGGGTGATTTATCTTTCAAGTTGGTTTCTTACTCCCAGATTGCCACTCTCTTGAAGTTGGCATAAACACCAGCTGTGGTGCTTATTGGAAAAAAAAACCCACCTTGATTTACTGATGTTTTGTTAACTTCCACATTAAGAGTCTAGTATAATAAATTTAGAACGTCTTAATAGACTGGGAAATTTGTTTTCTTATATTTAATAAGTTTATTATATTAGCCCCATTCTATTTTATAAGCAACAGTCAGTAAAACAATAGTTAATTAAGCACAAAAACTTTAGGCCTCAAGCACACATGGGAAGCTTACCAAAAAGCAAGAAGCAAATGCTCAGCCACTGTCTCTGAAGAAAAGCAAGGCTGGGCTGAACAGCATCACCCCATTGGCTACTGTTTTATAATGATTCTCTGATTATTTTGTTTAAAGTACTTGTAAGCCAACTTCAGTTCATCCTGCAGATGAAAGTTCTACCAGACAATGGATCTATTATGTCACCTAGCCACCCTTGTGGTGATAAGAACCCTTCGTCATTAGTGATTTCTTGCTGGATTGATAACTAAAAGAATTTAAATTCCAGGCTAGAGACTATAGACCATCCTGGCTCAAACATCAAACATCCCACTAGCCATGGTTAAAAATGACCAGAATAAGCTTCAGAGAACCTTGGGCTTCCCTATTATCCCCTTCCCTCTTACAAGGACCATTTTATGCAAAAAATGAACAGAGGCTGAAATAAAGTATGCCAGCCACAATTAAAATTAGTAATAGCTTGCTAATCAATAAGCAGTAGTTTAAAAACTGGGAGCCCTTGCTTCTGAACTTCCATACTTCCAACTTCGCAACCATACTGGTGACAGAAAATGAAGGGCAGCTCTGAAACCCAAAGCAAGACAAGATTCAGTTGTTCTTGTGGCAAGTTCCTTAGAGAATCAATGCTAAATTGCCTTCCTTTCTAGTCTCTTGAAAAGACCCCTCAGTCACAGACTGGAGCCCTTGAAAGAAAAACTACATCCATTTTGAAGTGCAATATACTCTTTTTACTTTTAAAATAATTTATTTTCAACCTGGCATTCAAGGAACTGCCAATCTTCTCAGAAGCTGCTAACTGAATCACATTCTCATGTCAGCACCCTCTGAGCCAGATATTAGCCAGTTAAGTCCAGGAGCTGTATAGAACCAAAACTAGCTCAAGCTTTATTGGTTTTTTTTAAAGATATTATGTGCCAAGGAAGAAACTTGGTTTCTTGTTATCAAATAACTTAAAACTGGCAGACCAAGAACAATTGGGTTTACAATACTAGCTTTTAAAGAGTACTCCAAATAAAGAAAGATCCCCTTTTTAAATGAAATTGTTAAGTACCGTTAAGTAATTTCTAGCTTATTTATCCACTTCAGGTGGTAGAAAGAAACTATGAACAGAATGCACGCACTGGGACACAGTACAGAAAGTCCAAATGCTCAGAATCCTGGCTCATGCTGTTCCATGTGAATAGGTTCAGCATGATTGACTTCATGGCCAAAGCATCTAGACAACCTTGGCTAAACTTGGAAAATAAGCAAGGCAAAACCTAATTATTGCTTAAATGGAGGGCATCACATCATCCCCAGACTACAGGCTAGACTGGCAAATTTGAAAAAACAAGCAATGCAAACTCTTTCATATTGCTGCCCCTAAAATTACATGTGAACATGTCCAAGTAGTCACTATGACTCAAGACTGACTTGGAATTTTTCTTCTAAGTGTTTTAGAATACAGGGTTAGTTATTCTATTATAATCAGTAATTAAATGGTAGATTATCGTAATCAAGATCACATTGCACATCAATTTATATAAGACTTATTTTCAAGTTCTATAATTTCTGTCAGTCTATGCTGCACCCACTAACTTATATCAGAATCTAAACTTTTCCAGGTCTCACTGAACACAACAGTATGTCAACTGCTCCTCAAAGAGAGAAATACTCTGTGCCTTCTCTGTGGCAGCCCCTGCCCTATGGAATACCTTGCCCCCAGAGGTTCGGCAGGACTCCACCCTGTTAGCCTTCCATAAGGCTTTAAAGAGCTGGCTTTTTCCCACAAGCACTGGTAGTTATTTAGATGATGGCACGTTAACACAGATTGGATTTTTGTTTTTAATGTTTTATGTTTCAACTGGTTGAGTGTTAGTATTTAAAATGCTTTAATATGCCTTTTCATTTTTGATTGGGAGCTGCCCAGAGTTGGCTGAAAGATGGGCAGATGTATAAATGTTATTAATCAACCAATCAATAAAATAAAATAATCTAATACAATAAATTTCATAATCAGAATAACAAAGATCGTAAAGTCTGCATCTGTATTTAATATATGAGAGATTGATAGGAAGATAAAAGGTAAAATGGGAAGAGAATGGAGTTGAGTCTAATAACTTCCTTGAAAACTTTGCAAATTCACTGCAACCTATTTGAACCAACAAACATAGGGGTGAGAATACTATATACTGATAGTGCTATCCGTCTTTTGCTTGTTACCCCTTGTTACCTAAGAGATGGAAACAACTCCTTTTGAAGCTTTCAAGACAAGGACATGTTCTACAGATAACAATGGGTCTGTATAAGCAGCAGAGTTACCCATGTTGATGGATGTCCATGTGTCAAAAAAGTCAATACTCGAATGTTACCTCTTATGCCTGTGTGAAAGAAAGATTTGATAGATGTGCTAAGGAAAATATTAGAGCAGCTGAAAATGTGGATTCCTCTCTTTTATATAATTAATACAAGGTTAGGAAGTCTTGTTCTTCATTGCATCTATGTATCTCACCAGAAAGCAAAACTGGCAGAACAGATACATAGGTGCAGTTCCTTCAATTGGAATAGAAAATCAATGTGATGCAGTATAATATATTTTAATTAGAAACCAAATTCCTATTCATTTATGAAGGCCCCTAGGCAATTGTTAACAAATCACTAGCATTTAGCATCCTCTTTGAATTCCAAGGAAAAAGGAATTTGCAAATTAAATTATCAAAATGTCAGTCAGGACAGGTAATTTGCAAGGCTGAAACATGTTCTGAGTGACTTGAAATGAACTGTAGAATAAAAATGTAACAATGCAACAAAAACTCTCGAAGCCCTGGCGAGCCCATGCTGACGAA